ATGGAAGAGAGATTGTTGTTAATCTGCACCGAAATGACCAGTTACAACCCACTGTCTACCGCATACGGAGCGGCTACCGGCCCCAGCTCACTGATATGCATTTCTTTGTCCGCAGGGAATTTGTTAGCGGGGGGGGCACTACCACGTTGACGTAGTTTGGGACACGTTTATTTTGATAGTTGTCATGTTTATGAACAGATGGCTTACAGTTGTGATGACTTAAAACTGCACGGTTGTTCCTTTTCCACTTTGTGCATTAACTGCACTGAATTCTTTAGACCGTATTTTCTTAACTAGTCGTGAATACGACATGTCGACCGTAGCTCTCGACCATGTCAACCACCAGATTCAGCCAAGTGAATAAAGACGCGGTGACTATATCTGGATTATCGTGAAAGTAGACTTACCGGATCTACCCCACTCTCTCACCACTCCCGAACCTGAACCGATGTCAAGACAAACGTCGAGTAGATCGGAGATGGGGGAGGGCGCAGGCGGTGTGCGCGAAACACACTCCAACGCGCGCCACAACAGTACCACCTTGCTAGGTAGGCTCCCGCATGTGTGGGAGCGCCATAAAAGCCACATTAAGAAGGAGCCATTGAGTCTGACTCTCAGCCCACAGTAAGCCACTCCACACATCAAGACACACACTGGACTGACTGCGCTGTCCAAGTTATCCCATCAGTTGGCAGCACTCCAAACCACGGCCTTAAGCGCACCGGGATATCTTCAAGTGCATCAGATTGTTTTTAATGAGGAAGGAAATACTCCGAGGGTCGACCTCGCTCTCTCCCCCACCCCCTAGGTGATCGGTCACCTGAGGTGGGAAGTCGTAACTACAGATACAGACTCACTAAAGTACTGGCTTTGGTTATTTTTGGACGAAGCATCTCACCAATCACCACCTTGTGTTATGTCTGATGCTCGTATAGCCCTATGGCTATTTTATTCTCATCGAGGAGGCTTTCTTTGCCCCCGCCCTTCCCTGTCTATTTCATTCCTCCCGTCTTCTTTTTTATAGGTGGAGGCTATCCCTGTGAGTTACATTGTTTTCGGTGAAAAGTGTATGGAACTGGCGACGGAGCTGTTCAAAACCTTTGCGAATTATGACGCTCTCATGGAGGCCAACGTCATGCAAAAAATGATTGAGGTACGTCTGCCACACCGTTTTAATCTGTTTTTGTTTTTTTATACCATTTGTTCCCCTCTTCTTCCTGCTTATTACACGTACTCTCTTCCAGTATTGTAGTATTTTACAGTATTTATCGGTCACTGTATGATACATTTGTTACCGAGGCATGATTCCGTAGCCCAACTCGTGATTTGGCCATCGCATTCAGTTGCATTCTCGAAATTCCACTTGGATACGTTTTCTTTACCAATCTGCCTCTCTTATCACAGCTGCGGCACTGTTATCAATCGAGCTCTGAAAAGTTACTGCGTATTTGCGGGGGTATGTTCCGAGGACGTTTTCACAATTCCGCCCTGATGTTTACTTTTACTGAAATTTCAGCGGCTTGGCCTGAGATATAATCTTCTGTCCTTGAGTTGCTGTCCAGTTAGGATGCCGCCCTGTGTCACGTGCACTGTCGGATGTATTCTCCTCGGGAGCACTTTTGCCGAACTCGCATACACGGTTTTTGGAAGATTTTTTGATCTAAATTATAATTCGCAGAGGACGAAAATGGCCCAAGGATGTTTTTTGCTGGCCAGACATTACCTCGAAAGTACTCTCTCTTTCCCCCCCCGTTACTATCAAGGGGAACAAAGTACTAATTAATCCGTACAGTTGTCGGTGTGACTGCAATAGTTCAAAAGTAGAGAACCGGTGCGAATTCAAGGGGGGCCGATGTTGTACTGCTTTTTGGCATTTAGACGTTTCCTGACCGCGGATATCCTCCCTTTTTTAAACCCCACCTTCACGGGTGAGTGGTCTGCCTACGAGCACTGCGGTAGATTTTAAAAACACATCAACTTTAGTAAGTGATTAATCAGAAGAACATAGTACTGCGTGGAATACCAGGAAGCAGGGCCACAAAGGTAAATAACCAGAATAAGCATCTAAGGTGCGTCAGTAAGACTTAGCTGTATTCGTCGACGAACGTTCAGCGATTGATGTCGGTGGATTCTCTGTCCTGCTTTCGGCGTTACAGTGCTAGTCGTAACGGTGTATGTGTTCGTGATAGCGTGATAACGTTTGATTTACTCATAATCTTAATTTTATAGCTTTAAAATGCGGCCTATCTGAAAAGGCATTAGTAACCTCTTCTTCTTCATCAGATGATAGACCGCAGTCTGCTTCAAGCCCTGGTATTATTTCATCCTCACATGCCCTCCATGTGCGTCTCGTGTGGAGGCGTACAGGTTGATTTTCGTGCCCTTTCCCTGTTTTTCACATTTTAAGTAGATGCGTACTAAGAAGAGAAAACTTCATTCACTACTTTTGTTTGGATGTCCTGGTGGAGATATCTCAAGACCAGAATTCGCCGACTGATAATCGCGTCTACGCGTATGTGCGTGGTCCTTGTACATCAGTTAAGCCTCCCCATTCTCAGCAGTGATGTCATCATAATTGACACTCGTTCTGGCGTCCTTACCCTAATCTATCCGACACCGACCCAGCCAGTTGGAAACCAACTTCGTCCTCCCCCTTTCTCAAACCCACGTTGGTAGCCCACTGCTGCTTAACCAAACCTTCATTGTAAGAGACCGAGAAGCCGTTTTTAGTGAAGAACGACAAACCCCGTAATTTGAATTTCTTTCCTGAGTGTCTGCACTCTAAGATATACTAACTCAAAAAACGCAAAAGCAACCTGATAATGCGTACCTATTTTGTGCTCCCGTGGTAGCCTATTTTGATGGAATGGAGTTTAACTTGTGCAGTTTTTCAGACTAATGTTACATACCAAATCTTGCTGACTCTTCCGTGTGGTCTTCGTTCACTGCAAAAAATACGCTCACAGTAACTCCGATAAGTAAAGTTTAACATTTCCTGCATTCTTCTCTGGCAGTCCGGTCTGTTGTTACAATGTACTGAAGTTGTTTTACTCCGCCTTTTGCTGAAGTGGAATGTGAAGATGTGTCCGAACTTTGATTGCGTTTCCATAATTGTTCCATTTTTACATCACCTCCTTCCTAGCATCCAGAAAATGTTCTCGAGATTTGGCAGTTATTGTTCCAGAAGATAAATTGGCGAACATACGTTTGTTTTCGATAAATTCTCGTCA